GAAAACGAGTAACAAATTTCATTTTTTACAATATTTTCATTTTTTTTTTTAAAAAATGAAAGAAAAATAAATTTTAAGTTTTATAGTTTATTTCTAATTTCAGGCTCGAACTGCATCATATTATCAATCACAGGTTTTTATTACAAATCAGTAATTAATTACCTAAAATATACTATATAACTATGTATCATTTTTTTTTTTTTAACTGACATTTGATTAATTAATTTTTTTCAGTATTTAAATTAATGATTAAAAGAGTAAATTGTTGAAAAAAAAAATGAACCTATCCAAGCATTAATTATAATAATGCTTGATAATTTTTAAATCTTAACTACTTTTATAATAATTACTCTTTCTTTATATTGTTTATAACCAATACAATTAATAATTCTAAACTTTAGCTTTAAATAATAAATCATTTTTCATAATTGTTTTTTCTCAATTAAATTTGAAATTTTCACTCAGGCAAAAGTAACAATATCACCAAATTATCAACCTATTCAATTGCAACAACAACAACAACAACAACAACAGCCACAACATCCACTGGTATTTTAGTTGCTTTATAAAGTTTATTTAAATTTAAATTTCAAAAATTTCAATTAAAACAAATATAAATTTATTGTCTCATACAATTCGATATTTAATTATATTTGGTTTTAACAAATTTTGAATGGAAAAATAATATTTCTATCAAACATAAAGTTTTAAAAATAAAATTTCTCATTCTTATTTTTTAAAGAAATTTTATCAGAAATAACCGTTACACATAATATTTCTAATAGAACAAACAAATGGATTTTAATAATATGAACTCTTATTTGATGCAAATAATTTGATTTTTTGATAAATAATTTTTCTACTAATAAACTGAAAGAAAAGATTCTTATTTGACATTAACCAATGCTAAAATATTCTAAAAATTCAATTTTTTATTTATTTGTTTAATTTCAATTTTATTTATTTGTTTATTTCATTCATTCTTTTTCCTATGTGTTTACTACAAAAACTGCTAAAAAGTTTTAAACAGATTATAAATTTAAAAAAATAGAATTTTTTATACGATTTTCAAGTAGTTACGTTTGTTTTTAACTGATTTATTGTTTGCGTGGCAATACTAACAATTGAGTGAAATAAAATTGAAGGACAAAAAAAAAGAAAAAAAAATTATTTTGTAAATTTTACAAAAAAGTGGTTTTTACAAAAAAATTAATTTTACAATTTAAAATTTCTATTTCTTCATTTAAAAAATTAAATTTAAATAAAAGTTAATTACAGATACAATATCAACAAACTGTCCCTTATCATTCTGCTCGTGCACCAACGCCATTTATTACTAGAAATTCTGAACAATCAATGTATCAACCAGTACAACAACAACAACAACAGCAACAACAACAACAACAACAACAACAACAACAACAGTGGCAACAACAACTTTTAAAACCGCTCAATTCAGGTTTAGAATTTAATTTATTATTATTTTTTATATTTATATCAATTATAAAAATACGAATGAAGAAGGAATAAATATATTAAATGTTTTTTTTTTTTTTTCAATCGAGTATTTTAAAAATAAGTAAGAAAATTTTTGAATAAGATGCATTTAAAATTTTAAATTAATAATTTATTCTAAATTAAATAATAATCAATCTAAAGAGAAGCAAGAGAGAGAGGGATAGAGAAAAGGGAGAGAAAGAAGAGAAAAAGGGAAAAGAGTGAAAAATCATGAGAAAAAAAATAAATAAATAAAATGATTATTTAATTTAACTTTTAATTTATTATTAGGTATTCAATCAGAAACCTCAAATTCAATAAAATCATCGAATCCGCTTCTTATCGATCTTGATACATTATCGAAAAATTTATTTGGTAACCTTTTTAACAACCAAAGGTATACTTTGTTTTACTTTCATTTCCTGTCATGATTTTTGATCAACGACAAATTTCATTTTTTTTTAATATTAATTACAAGAATTTTTTTTTAAAAAGATAAACTTAATTATAATCAAAAATATAAGCTGAAAAAATATATGTAAATCAAGCATTTCAAATATAAATTAAGCCAATGATAGTAGTGTTTCGAATTTTATAACTTCTTTTTAAGCTGACTGATACCGGAAGTTACTTTATTTGGTAAAACCAACTAATCAGTAACCATTAGTCAATAACTGATTAAAATATGTAAACAATAAAATTCTATAAATGTAAGAATTTTAAATATAAAAAAAAAGCAAAATCATATAAATAAATAATTTTGAAAAGAATCTAACTTATTTTCGAGATTATTTTTTCAGGAATTGAAACGATATAACCGATCAATAGTTGTTGGTTTTTTATTAAGCTTTACTGATGTTTTATTTTGCGCTATGGTGGAATAAAAAATAATTCGATGATTACTATATAATTATTATTGTTTTGAAATTAAATTTTAAATGTTAATTTGAGATTTTTTAGAAATGATACACTTTTGATTTTCAATGTTTTATGTACATTAATTAATAGGTTATGTGCTTAAATTTGGTTTTAATTATTTTTAAAATTGTATAATTTAAAAATGAAAAAAAAAAAACAATAACTGAAGAAATGCCTTCTGGCATCGATTGTTACTTGATAATTCCGATGAATTTATTTGTAATTAAAATTTTTATTTTAATTCGGTCTAATTCACTGTATGCACTTGACAATAGTGACACTAAGTAAACATATTTAAAAATTAGCTAAAAATAACATTTAAATTTTTTTAAAAAGGCAATTGAAATTTAATCTTATTAAATCATTTAAATTTTTTTTTGCCTAAATATAAAAAAAAGAACAAACATCTGATTAACTAAAAAAGTTGAATTACTTTTTGAAATATAATAATCATTTTTAAACATTTGCAAAATATTTAGCAGATAATATCTATTTCAAAAGAAAAAATATTTGAATTGTAAAGATCAGTGGTGTTTTTATTTATTTCAATATTTTATTAATTTAATAGATTAATTTTTTTTTAAAAAAAAGGAGCCATAGCTTGATTTGTTAAAAATTGTTTATCATTAAATTTTTTTTTGCTTCATTTAAACAATATTCTAACAATTAACATTCATCATTTTCTTTCTGAAAAAAAATTTTGTAACAAAAAAAGAAAAATAAGGAAAGAATGAAAATATTAAAAATTTTATTTTGTATCATTAAAAATGATAATTTGAGGAAGAAAATTGCACATTTCTTTAGAATTTTTTTTTTTTTGAAATTTATTTTATTTTGCTTAAAAAATGTAATTAAATTCTTCGCTTGAATAACTTAAATTTTGATTTTTAATTTTAAAAATTAGCTTTTTTTTTGTAATACTTACATTTAAGTATTATTTATACCATAATACTTTTATACAGGATTTATTTTAATTTTTTTTTTTTTAAATTTTAATATAAAAAGCAAAGAGGTAGAAAATGAAAAGAAATTATTTTCTTATTTTTCTTTTCTTCCTAATATATTAACAAATATAATTGAATTTACAATGAAAATATCAGTTTTTTTAATTTATATTGAATAACAATTTGCGCCACCGAAAATGTTTATTTATTATAAATTAAATTATCTAATTATTTTTAGTTTTTATGAAAAAATGCTAATTTTATCTATCATTTATTTTATAAATCGAAAGATAAATATTTTTCAGAAATATTTGTTAAATAAAAAATAATAATTATTTTTTAGTTTTTATGAAAAAATGCGAATTTTATCTATCATTTATTTTATAAATCGAAAGATAAATATTTTTCAGAAATATTTGTTAAATAAAAAATAATTATTAAATAAATATAATATGGAATTGTTTTAAGAAATTTTTTGTTAAATTATTTAAACAAAATTTAATTCGTTTAATTTAAAATTGTTTGAAAAAGAAAAGTGTTTACGTACAGAGAGAATTCATACTAGCAAAGTATTTTCTCTGTTGTAATGGAAATTAGAATAAATAAGTTTTTTTTTTTTTTTTGAAATTAATTTTAATTTTATGCAAAAATTTGTTTCCTAAATTTTGCATTATTTTTTATATAATATGTAAACAGCTGGAAAAAAAATATTTTAAAGCATTTTTCAATAAACATTTGAGTAAGGTGGACGGTTAAATTGTGCGCTCTTTGATAAGCTTAATTTTAAAATTATAAAATTTGTATTTTTAAAGTATTTTTAAAAATATATGAATTTTATACGAATAAAATGGTCATTTTGATTGAACTGAAATTTTACTTTGAAATTGTAGAAACAATAATATTCAATTTACTAAAGTTAAAAAAAAAATTTTATTCAATCATTTTCAAACTTCAACAATTACAATTTTGAAAAGTTCCAGACTAGGGGAATTTTCTAATTAAAGCATCTTTTTTATTTATTATTAAAAAATTTGCAATGAATTTCGAATATATTATTAAATAGCTTTTATAGATGATTACAAATAATTTCACTTAAGTTTTATAAAAAAAAAATCACAAATAATTTTATAATTTCAATTTAGGTTTTATAAAAAAAAAAAAAAAAAATGGTAAATAATTTTATAATTTCATCTAGGTTTTATAAAAAAAAAGTAGATCATAACAAATAATTTTATAATTTCACTTCGGTTTTATGAAAACCAAATAATTTTGTAATTTCAATTTAGGTTTTTAAAAAAAAAATAGGTGATAACAAATAATTTTATAATTTCACTTAAGTTTAAAACAAGTTTTATTTATCAAATTATTTTTTATTTTATAAAATAAGTTTTATTTATCATAAAATTCTTTTCCCTAAGTAATATAGAACAATCATTAATTTCATTCATTCTGCTCATAAAATTATTCAAACCATCCAATCAAAGTATCAAAAGTCATATAATTACCATACTCCATTCGTTTCCATCTTTTATTATTATTATTCGTCATTTGTTAGCTTTCATTGATGTATTTCTTCACCAAATAAAAACAATCCATTAAACAATGATCGATAATCGTTAAAGGTCATCGTTAAGATCATAA